GGTAAAAGTCAATTCCTAGTTAGCTCATAGTGTCATATAATCCATTACATGGCAAATGATGTGGTATTAAACTAATAGATGTACTTTTGACTAACAACAATCAGTCAACAATTAGTGAGAGTAACTTATTTAATTCAAAATAAAAGTTTATGGATTTAATTGAACGTAATAAAAGTATAAGTGTTTAATTGACTTTTTCGATATAATCCAAGGACTTATTTAAGTATTATGCCTAGTTTTTTTTTAATGAATTTTTGTTTAAAGTTTTTTGGTTTTCTTTATGCTATTATTTTTCTAAAAAAACAAAAGTGATCATAGTTAAATAAGGGTCAAAACTTTGCACTTGAATATTTGACTTATTAATTGATGTATGATTCGTTGTCTAAAGAACAAGGTTCATATTTCCTTTCTCCCAATTAAAAAAAATAAGAGTCAAAATCCTAATACAAAGAAAAAAATCTTGCAACGAGAACCAAAACTACATCATTTTCACTCCCACAGTAAAGAAAAAGCTTGAGAAGCTCAAATTGAATGACATTTGTTATTTAGTTGAACGTCCAAGTGCAAACATACCACAAAGAATACATTTATATGTGATTATACCCAAAGCTCACAATTCAAATTGACAACACATAAATGCTTTTAGTGTGACAATAGATATTTTGTTTTTACTCTTTCTAGAATATCCCATTTGTTATATATAATTATACCTATATCTAAAGACTACTTTGATATATGGTTATACCCATACCTCAAAGTTCAAACTAGTAACATATAAATGCTTCTAGTGTGATAGTAGATATTTTTCTTTTCCTCTTTCTAGAATATCCCAGTTGTTATAAATAGTTATACCCATACCCAAGGAGTTGATCAATTTAATTACAATTTTTAAATAAACAAATGAATAGATATGGTATAGATGGGCATTGATTAAATTAAGGCATCTCTTGTTGCCTTTCTTTTCCTCTTTTGTTTACTTAGTTCACTATCATATATTTATAATTGAAGCAATTTTTCAATTATCAATATTCATCTCATAAAATCATTCAAACAACCCAACGGTTAGAATTTGAGTCTCATGTTTGAGTTTTGGGAATGTCGTCCGGAGTTTGTTTGATGAAAGATAATTAAATCGTATTTTATAGCTCATACCAAATAGGTCGTTATATGAAACAAAATGAAAATACAAGTATTGTTATCGACATATTGATCAACAACAAGTTATGTGCGAGTCAAGTTATGTGCCAATCCTCAAGGCTGGTCTAGACTTTCAATATCTAATTACTCTTGTTGCCCTTCTCGTGCCTTCGTTCCTTTTTGCTACAACGACGACAACATATGCAGTAACGACAAATATAGCAGGGATCGGTAGTCAGTTGCATGGGCATGCCAAACTACTAACACACTAAAATTGGTTTCAAATTTTTAAAAAAATAATATAAAAGGATTATATATTTTTGTTTTTTTTTATTACGAAACTCTGATTGAAAGCAATTTAGGAATTATACAATTATAAAAAAAACAAAAAATAGGAAAAAATTTCAATAATCACATTCTTTTAGTAATAACAGAATCATCTCTGTTTGAATTATTTTCATCCATTACTTGGTTACATTCAGCATGCTTTGGGATCGAGAGTTCATTCTTCATTAAAAAAACTTTTGGTTGTTGCTTTTTAGGTTTTGTATTAGCTTGAATAAAATAAATAAGTGTCATGACCCAAACTGGGGAGCCGTGACCAGCACGCACAAGTTCGGCAAGTAAGCTTACGAGACTCGAGGAAGCTTTCATACATAAATCTGATTAACACATTTCATTCACATCAAGGCCTCATAACTATCATTATATCATAAAATCAACTCGGCATTCATAGTCAACATTAACCATCTTGGCTCATTTTCTCATAAACATTAACATCAGTTGATATTATAGCCATACATTGGCTAGTTTCTTAAAACATCTAAACTATTCATTACGTAAACATAGGGCAACGCAATGCCCACATAATTTGTTTAGACATAACTTTTACATATTATGGAAGCGTAAAACTTGACTATGACCCAACAAAGTGACTCATCCACATGATAACCTACCAATTGCCAAAATTGCACTTCTGACAGTGACAACGTTAAGCCACCCAATCCTCAATGTCTATTTATCTACACATACAATTGAAGAGTGTGAGTCATACTAATATTTAGTGAACAAGAGCATATGACAATTGTAAATGCGCAAAGATAGTTGCTATACACATCCTTTAAACATACTAGCATACAATAAGCTAAACATGTACATGGCAATACAAGTCGGATGTCACTTGTTATACATACTCTATTATCATCATGGCAATCATACTACACTGCTTATATGCATATTCATTTAGCATATACTATAGGGTAAACAATCTCAATCGTGCCTACCAAACTCATTATCATCATTGCCATCTAAAGGCTTCATTTATCATATGAACTGGCCCACCATATGGTCATCCACATACGTGATTAACATACATAACTTATAAGCATTCACATCAAGCATAAGTCCTTTGACTACATAAGCTCGCATTGCATCATCTTACATTGTCATACAAATATGACTCTTACCTCAAGCCCTTGCATTTACCATATTTCATAACATAATATTAGTCATAACATCATCATATTGTAGAGTAGTCCTTCTTGAACATAACATAGTCATGTGCAGTGGCCAACCGACAGATAACATACATCATTGTATCACGCCCCATTATCAAAGCAAACAATGGAGTACATAGTCATCATTCGAACTAGTCTCAAAAGATGGCATCATAATATTGCAGGCAAGAATCACAATCAGGACAAACCACCATCCTTGTAGACAACATAACATCATACATAACAAGTGAGAATCACAAGCAGGACAAACCACCATCCCTGTTAACAACATACATAGTCACTGGGATATGGACACACTCAATCTCATATTATATATCATCCGAAATCATCTACGAACATAACATACTCGTCATTCATAATCATAACTATTCATATATAATCATGTCATCATCTGGAATATCATCCTCGAACTGATCACACATTGCATCATATCATGATAGCATATCATCCTTATCATAATGCAAAGTTCATAATTTGCATTTCTATGCTTAGGCTAGGTATAATCCTTCTAGGCATTTCACTAGTCTAGACATATCGTTTCTAGATGCATACATCACGTGCATATCAAACGTAGCATCATTTCCTCATAACATGGGCTCTTATTCACATTGACATCATCTGGCCTAGATTTTGTTCCTCTAGGCATCTTACATCATTTCATTCACACATTGCTATTCTTAGCCTAGGCATAATCCTTCTAGGCAATTCATGTCATTCATAACATTACTAGTCTAGGAACACCACCTCTAGGCATACATATGGTATACACATAATACATATCATGCATTTTTATTCTAAAAGCGCACTTGCACCTTAATCATTATGCTTTTGATCATAAAAACCTCCACTCACCTTAACACTTCAATTGCTCTTCTATTAGCACTTGCACAATTCAGCTCACCAATGCCTTAGCTTCGATCCATATAATTTAGCATTTGAGCAACATTCTTACTTCCATAATCATCTAACATTTGCAATGTAAATTCATCAACAGTCGTACATTACTTCTCTATTTCATAACTAAGTTTTTAGCTTTCAACCCATTTCCAACTTTTCAGAATTAGCTCAATCTCTATAGCTAATTATCATTGAAACTTAATTTCTATAAATTCTTCATCAATGAGCTAGACTCTTACCTTAGATATCATCTTGGCTTGCTCTAACCTCGAATCTCCAGCCACATTCAAGTGCCTTCAACTATCAAAGTTGGAACATAAACTTTGTCATGAACAAACGGTTCAATTTGAAAATTAATCGGTAAAAAATTTTTAAATTTACCTAAGGATTGATTTTCTATGTTCAAAATGCCTTCTCTAAACTTCAAATTTCCACTTGCAGGGCATGGGTTCAATGCAGTAGTAGAGCTCTCTTTGCTCCTTTTATTTTCTAAATGGGCAGATTGCCCAAAGCCTTTTTATTTTTGCAAGTTTACATGCATCTATTGATAGATGGCATGCATTTATCGATAGATCCTTCTCAGATCTTAACATTTTTGCCTCTCATCTATCAATACATATTTCGAGTCTATCGATAAATGGTATTCATGCACTTTTATTTCATTCAAGTAGTGCAATCTATCTATGGTTTTCAAGTTTCTATCAATAAATTGTGCCCTTTTCTTTTCATCATCAATCCCAAACGACTATCCATCAATAGTTATCGGGAATCTATCAATAGATGTTCTTTGGCTCTTGCATTTCTTTGCTTCTACTTTTAATCTATCAATAAACTATAAACATCTATTGATAGATCATACTTAAATTCAAATTCTCAACATATTTAACCTTCCAAACTCACTCCTCTAAGTTTTCGTGATTGGCAAAACAATGCATGATTGGTAAAAATTTTGATTATGATAAAATATTTGTTCTCAATCACAAAAGCATGCATTTGGTAACTGTTTTTTGCCTACAATGAATTTGTAAATTTTTATCATAATTTCCATCACATTCACAATGTCAACTACAGATTTAAATCTAACAATTTTAGACAAATTCATTAACACGATACACAATAAGTGGGTTTGAGTTTTGTATAATTATGTATGTGTTCAAGGTTATCTCAACTTATTTATGAGACAAAATATTCATTCTTTACCCAAGTTATTACGCTAACCCATATGACACATTTATACACATTTAACTAATCATATTAATATATTAATCCACATTACTCAAAATATCTAACCAATTTAAATTTGTTTATTGTAATTATTAACATTTAAACTATATAAATAATTTACTATTGTGTTTAAATAGGCTAAAGTCATGTCATGTCTAAACAATTTAATCATATTTAAAAGTGTTAATCATGTCATATGGTATAATTCTTATAATAAATATGTCGTATTCAAATCAAGAACTCGATTATTTATTTGTGTCGTGTTCATATCAATCAATTCATATGTTATATCCTTATCTTTACACAACATAATAACGACAGGCTAATATGGATTACCAACCCTACATGCACCCCCATAATCAATTGTGCTTATGTAGGAGCTGGTATCATTTCACAGCACATCTAACTGTAGGAGTTAAAAAATTATACTGTTACAAGACTCCTGCCTCCTGCCTTCTTTCACCCATTTTATCTTTTAGGCTTCGTTTCATCTATGATGTCTTAAAAAGGAAAAAATATTGAGACATCACTAAATTATGTTCAGCAAACATGACAGCCACATAGGTAAAATGTGGGATGATGCTTTAGCTATGACTATTACATCCATGGCCTAGAGGAAGTTCCTCTGAAAGGTTCCGGATGAAAATCTGGAAGTCAGACCCTTGGCCATGTTATCAGTATCAAGCTTCACATTCTGCCTTCCCGCAACAAGGTCATTCTCTCGATCCCAAGGCTTCCATGGATGTTTACCCTCCCACTCCACTTTCTCTGCCTGTAGCTTGGATTTCTTCTTTGGACGCTTTGCTGTCTCTTCTTGATGCTTTTGTACCAATGATTTCGATCGCTTTTCTTTATTGTATATATCCACCAAATCTGCGTCTGAATTGGTTCTCTTCTTATCATCTTCATTAGAAGCAAGTGCAGCAGCCTCATTGTAGGCTTCCAAATAACTGCAATTTAGCATTTAGAATCATAAATAAACACATGAACATTAACATACAATACTCAGCATCTAAAGCATTCAAGAACATTGAAAAAGAGATTCTCACTGCATCTTTGCTTTTTGGGCTCTCTCCGTAGGAGTATCAGTCCAAACACTCGTATCACCACGTCCTTCTTTAGAACTCTTGCTAAATCTCGTTGATTGCATAGTCACACCAGGCTGACAGGAATAAAAGGTAATACAACTAGGGTAATTTCAGTTTAAATGCAAATATGATTCCCATATATGTTTAATGCACTTAATCTTTGAGCTTTTAAAAGGAGGATATCCTTCTGAGACAAAGGGCTAGCTAGCTATTCATGAAACTTTATGAGTTCCTATTTAAATCCAAATATAATTTGGAGGTGATGCAAGATTTTTCTAAACATAATCAGGGATACACAATTACAAAATCAACATTTTTGGAGTTCCGATACAACATGGGATAGGAATGATTGTAGGATTGTCATTCCTGAATGACGATGGAAACTGAGTAGGATGTTTGTGCCACTAACTACAAGGCATCAAGTAAAGAACTGCAGATTAAAATGTCTTACTTTCCTTTCAGGAGGTAGTGTTGTCATCCATTCATCCCTTTTCGGTGGCACTTTAACCTCCACTTCTGCCAGGAGCTCATCATCACCCTCCATTGATATACCTGCCAAGATAACAACTTTCTTGGTTCTAGATCAAACACATTTTTTTGTTTTTTGAAAAGTGATCAAACACATGTTTTAGCATGTCAAGAACTGTTGACACAAGTAAAGATGAAAAAGAACAATAAACAATTGGAGAATATATAGACAGAGATTCTCTTGCACAAGGACCTGAAACAAACACTGGAGCTGCAATTTCCTGTAGAGCGCGAATGGTGCGAATGGGTGTTCTAATTATGTGTGTACGTATATACGGATCATGTAAATCACTAAGCACCATAAGATGAGTCATAAGACTGTTGGTGCAAATATATGCATGTATATACACAAGTGAGATAGATAAAGGCCATGCGCCTCACAAAGATAAGTAACCGAGCTTGTTGGCTGCTCAAACAAGACAAGTCACCAAATAACAATTGACAAGTCAAAGGACCATCAAAATCAAGCATGGGAAGCATCAAGATCCAAAGATATTTAATCTACTTGTCTAGTTTCCATGAGGTGACTCATTCAACTAAAAGGTCTTAGACACCCCTGAGCAAATTGATAAATAATTGAATAATTTGAATTTTTTTGAGACAACATAATATAGGACATAGGGAGAGAGAGAGAAAGAGGAGAGTCGTTGCATGTCTATAATTACAAACAACATCTAACCTTGCAATCTTCTCCATTGTGCAGCTTCACGCATTGCTCGCAACTCAGCCTGTAGGAGAAAAGGGGTTTATGTAACAAGTTGGCTACTAATTAAGTCTATTAAACTATGCATGTACTAAGAAGTTGGTAAATAGTAAATACCTTAAACTCCTCCTGCTCCTCCTTCAGTTTAATTTTTTCATCCATAGCTTTTCGCTACAAAACAAGTGGAGAGGTTTGATGTTGTAAGACAGGAATAACAAAATAGAGGACAATGTACAATCACCATAGATTCAAAATGCAGCAAAAATTACCTATTGATGAGTGCACATGAACTCACAGATGAAAAAAAAACTTTTTAAGATGCATGATTACCTAATTAAAAAACAGGACTACTAATATTTTGCAACAAAATTAATAATACTTCTTCTTTGAAGACCACCTCAGGAGCTTCAAAACAATATCATGTATATGGTGAGGAAGAGAAGATATCCACTGCATCTCTACAACCACTCTGTGCAACCTATTCTGATGGTAAATTTGACCAAATATGCCACTCTTCCATCTTCCCTTCCCTTCCCCATTTTCATCCTAAAATCTGACTTATAACAATGTGTTCCTTGGATTCAGATGCAAAAAGTCAGGTTAACACATGCATCTAAGGACCTCATCATTAAACTCATTCAAGAGAGGGATAAGATCCACATCTAGAAAAAGAAACTGAACTTATAAATGTATAGAAAGAATGGGTTCTGAATATGCCACCAAGCTATCTATTACCATTTGCTTGATACAGTATATTTATCCTACAAGAAACAAGTACAAAAAAGCCGACCAGAACTGGGCTGAGATTCCAAGAAGCTATATAATTTGAAACACAACCTAACAAAAACCAAAAGAAAAAATTTTTAAGAAAAGCGTAGTTACTCATCAAGATGATCGAGGAGCAATTCTCACTGTCCCTGCAGCTTTGTCATCTATTCGCAGGTTCTCACTCTTCTGTCTCCCCAAGTTCTCCTGTTCTTAAAACTCCTACTTCATACTATATTCTCTCTTTACTTACCCTTCTACTAAATTTCTCAAACATTTTCTTTTCTTATCCATTTGTCATCCCCCCCCCCCCCTCCCTCCCCTCTCACCCCAGCTCTTTTGTATTGTGTGGTGCAAATTTAGGAACATAATTCCAGCTAATAGGCTTTTCTGCTCATGCAACTTTTTGATGACACTGTCTCATTAAGCTAAATAAGGTCTATAAGAGCATTACCAAAATTAAAAAGGTAAAATAAGCAGGAGTATCCAAGAGAACAATGACATGAAACCATTAAAGGACAAGGTGTGCAAAGAACAGAAAAAGACATTGTTAAAAATAATAAATAAAACCCATATTATTGTACAAAATATAACAGAGATGCCAATAGTCAACAAGTTAATAATGAAACTCATTCTAATATTAATTTGAATAATTAGGGTAATGCTTCCTAAATCTACGGTTGTGCTACTAGACAAAATTAGATTATTTATTTCAATCTGAAAGAAAAATAAGTACTCTATTTTCTTCATCCACTCATGTTTGCAAACTGTAGTTGACTAGAGTCCTCTGACAAAATAGAGGTAATGGTTCACACCAAAACCTTCTAAAAGTTCCAGGGAGCCACAGAAACCAAAATGCCTCAAGAAAATCCCATCCAGCCATTTAAAGTTAGATAAGAAAGTCATCTGCACCATCTGAGGTCATATCTCCTGCGAATATCGCCCTACTAAGACTAAAGAAAAGTTTAATTGTACTGACTATTACCACAAGATGGGCTAGCATGTGCTTATATAGAGCATTGGTTCACATAATGATATCACACAGGCAATGAAGAACCATTAAGACCCAAAACTAATAAGGCATCTTTAAATTTAGATATCAAGATGGCTGTATTTAAGATAGATAAATCAAACCCCCACCTTATCTGGATCTTGTAACTCCTTGAAAGCTTTATTGAGTATAATAAATGCTTGGTGTGCCTGTGGATGAGTACATTTGTCTGGATGCACCAAAAGAGACAGTTTCCAGTACCTAAAGACCATAAAACAGCTTATGAGCATCACAGATCAACACAAGTTCACAACCATATCAAGACAAATAGCAGAATGCAGGTAGTAACATTTTAATTCGTCAACATATATAAGTAACACTACATGCTCTTCAGTTAACTTCATTTTCGAGTAAGAAGACAATGGCTCAGGAGACAAAATAAGGTAAACCACCTCAAAAATGAGTACAGAACATGAAAGGTAAATAATTTCTAGCTTCTTCATTAAAGATAATCTAGGACATACATTTTGGCCCAGCACCTATCAGCACCCTCAAAGGAAATTTCCTCCATTACCACCAACTTTCCAAGTTTGAAGTAATTTGTATAAGTGATCCAAACTAAAATACTTTTCCATAAAAACAAGTACGCTATGTTAAAAGATAACCCATAGCCTTCTAAAAGCTCCCAAGGATATTATACTCATGACAGTTTCATCACAGGTTCAGCTTTTAAAGTTTTTGGTCTCTCTCTAACTGGTATCTCCTCCTTGGACTTCATTGGAGAAGTTGATCTTGTTTATGAACTGAGTACAAATTGCAAGGCAAAAGAACAAAGCTATGTTAGAAAGATTATTCACTTTATCCTAATCTCCTATGTTGGACACCTAGAATTTTATGGGTATAACACTGAGTTTCTCAAAACTAATGGAAGAACTTGTCAGAAAAATGACTTACCTACATCAGAAAACATACTCAGCTCGACATTGAATCTTGAGTCCATGGAACATTACAATCGGTGAATTGATCTAAGGTGGGAAAATCCCTGATTATAGTTAAATAATGCATTTTAAATTTTGACATAGAGACTGGTTAACTATTTCACCTAGTTGCAACAAATTGCTAGCTGTGATCCTTGAATACTTTCTCTAAAAGTAAGACCAGCTCATTGCACCCAGGCATCTCAAACAGTATGCTAATAAGTCTCTTGGCAAACAATATGCTAATAAGTCTCTTTTTGGTTTGGTTCCTCATTTACTTTTAGCATATTCAATTTATTCAAGGAAAGTCGAGGTTCCATCCTGGTATAGAAATCCCTTGCTTCCTTTGTATCACTGCATGGGTTCCACCCTCCCATATGAAACTGAATAATTCATGTTAAATTATTTAAAATGAAGCTGTTGGGCTAACCACATGAAAAATAAATCCATGTTAATTGACAAGCATTCAGTTCATACATAAACCTTTTATGCATTATAACGAACTATCATGGGCACACTCATTTAGCTAATCCACAGCTTAGATTATTTAGACTAGGGTACAAAATTGGACATCTATTATTTAGGAAAAGTGCTAAACAATGGAAGCCAATGAAAAAATTCTGGAACTAATATTAAATTCTACAGCTCATATAAATAAACAAGAAATGTATATCATGCTCAATAAAAATATAGGAAAAAATTAACTCATAAAGAAAAAGCCTTACTTTTTCTTTATATTATCAGCAGACATATTTCGGTTTGCTCCTATAACATCATATGGACTATCAGCCTCAACTCCCATAATTCTAGTGACCTGCTCAGGAAAAAAATTGAAGAGCTATTAAGTAATCATACACAAGTAATTGTTTATACATACAATTGTAATGCATCATGCCAAAAAATTGGTTATCAGACAAGTTCATAGACTACCGAATATATATACCTAGGGGTCTTAGGAGACCTTCAACTACAACCCAACCTTAGACCAACAAATTTTAGTTGACCTCAATTTTCTCAAGCTCTGTTAATGAAGAGGTACTACAGAACCACAAGATGTTGAGTGAATAATTAGGCAAATCCAAGAGAATAAGAAGAAACGATGATTAGAACATATGACAACAAAAATGTAGTATTTTCTTTCCTACTTTTCTAATGATTTCAAAAAAGTTTGAGGGCCCAGCAAAACAAGATATATGATACCAAACACCAGAAATAGACTTATAATGAGATAAAATCAAGAGGTGCACGATATAGGATGCTTGTTGAGATTAGGAAGAAAATATCACAAATTACAGGCGGCAGACCGTGAATGAAGGCAAAAGAAAAGAACTTCCGCATAATGACCCCA